TTGGCCAGCAGCTCCCGCACCTCGCTCTCCACCTGCGGCAGCTTCGGGGGGCTCTGGCTGTCCGGGCGGGGGTCCCGATCCCCCCGGGGGGGGTCCCGATCCTCCCGGGGGAGGTCCCGATCCCCTCGGGGGGGGTCCCCATCCTCCCGGGGGGGGTCTCGCTGCCCCGGGGAGGGCTCCCGATCTTGGGGAGGGGTCTCCCGATCCTGGTGGGGGTCGCGATTCCCGACCCCTCCCCTTTGCCCGGCGTTGGGACCGCCCTTCCTCATCGCCCCCTCCTCKTCCTCCCCGCGACCCCCGGGGGTGGGGGGCGGCTCGGGGGGGTCGCGGTCTCGGGGGTCGCCCCCGCGGGGGTCTCCCCGGTCCAGCCGCTCCATCAGGCGGCTCAGGGTGGTGGCCAAAGTGCGGCTGGCGCGGGTCCGGTCAAACTCGCCCTTGAGCCCCTCGGTCTCCAGCTCGTCCTCCACCTGGGGAGGGGGCACGGCGGGGTCGGGGGGGGCCCGGGATGTCCCCAAGGTGTCCCCAAGCTGTCCCCAAGGTGTTCCCAGGGTGTCCCCAAGGTGTCCCCAGGGTGTCTCCAGAGTGTCCCCAGGGTATCCCCAAGCTGTTCCCAGGGTGTCCCCAGGGTATCCCCAGGGTGTCCCCAAGCTGTTCCCAGGGTGCCCCCAAGGTGTTCCCAGGTTGTCCCCAGAGTGTCCCCAGGATGTCCCCAGAGTGTCCCCAAGCTGTCCCCAGGATGTCCCCAGGGTGTCCCCGGGCTGTCCCCAGGTTATCCCCAAGGTGTCCCCTAGATTGTCCCCAAGGTGTCCCCACAGTGTCCTCCGGGGTGTGCCCAGGTTGTCCCTAGCATGTCCCCCAGACTGTTCCCAGGTTGTCCCCAAGCTGTCCCTGGGGTGTCCCTGGGCTGTCCCCAAGGTATCTGCAGGGTGTCCCCAGGGTGTCCCCAAGCTGTCCCCAAGCTGTCCCCAAGCTGTCCCCAGGGTGTCCCCAGGGTGTCCCCAAGGTGTCCCCAAGCTGTCCCCAGGGTGTCCCCAGGGTGTTTCCAGGTTGTCCCCAAGGTGTCCCCGGGCTTTTCAGGGGGGAGTTGGGGGCTCTCTGGCCCAGGATGTCCCCAGGGTGTCCCCGGGCTGTCCCCAAGGTGTCCCCGGGCTGTCCCAGG